CATTTGCGTTTGTAATTTATCTGTTTGAATAGAATAGAATCTGTCTCTTATACACATCTAGATGTGTATAAGAGACAGACAGTATGTGATTTAAAATATTCTTTGCGTACTATGCAGAAACTTGAGAAAAAAACGTGTCCCTATGGGAATATATATAAATATATAAAACTGTGTCAGTTGGTGAAGCACCTGGACAGTAATTGGAGGATTTTGTATTGAAATCATGATGAGTACAAATACGTTTTTCTCCCAAAACATATTTTCCTTATGTGTCTTCAATTATATATTTTGTGAAGTGCATGTTTGTGGGTAGTTTTAACTTCATACTGTTTCTATTTTGATAGATATTGTATATTTGGGAAATGCTGTTTTGTGTAATAGCATTTTTCAACTATTTTTAGATGGTTGTGGATATTCTCTGTTATTCATAATTTTTAATTGTAAATTATTTTTTAATTTATTTGCACCACCCCCATATTCATAATTTTTCCTTCCTTATGTCTTCATTACATTTCCCACCCCTTACGTATTCACCCTTTTCCTCCTTTTAATGCACCTGCACATTATGCTCATTTCTTTTCTTTTTTTTTTATTGTTTTTCTTTACTTTTCGTTTGTCATTCCAAGGTCATCGGAGGCACACATGGAGTCACAAGATGATGGCAAACATCTTTCGATGTTACCCACGTAGATCCTCGTGGCTTCTCAGTCTGCGTGAGAATTTCACATTCAAATTAATTTATTTATATCAAAATTGGTTTTATCCTTCCCTCTTGCATTCTAGATTGCAATATTTCTCAGCTTGTTGAACTTGCAAATGTTAATTTTTGTTTGAAAAATTAATTATTAATTGATAAACGTTTTCAATTCTGAATACATTTCCTCTCTTAAGTGATCAATAATTAGTATTAACTTGAGTTAAGTCATTAAAAACTATCTGCTCAAAGTAAATTCTTGCATCAAATGTTTTTATGAATTATGATTAACCTAGGAACTAAATAAACAATTTTAATAATAATTATTATTTACATAAATTAATTTGACAAAATTTGCAAACTGTTAAAAAAGCAATAAAAATGAAGTACCAAATACCAAGGCCAGAGGCCATGTTGTAATAATTTTGGCTTTTGTCCAGACACCCAAAACTAACTATATTTATATTGATTTAACATAAGCATCTAACCAGGAAGAAGCTTTTAACAAAGTTAAAAAAGCTTAAAACTTAACTTGCATCATATTAGGTATAAGACTCATTTACCTTGGCAGAGGATTAGATGGTTCAGCAAGTGATTCCACCACCTGGTACCCATAAGCAATAAAAAAAAGAAGATAAAAATACAATAATTTATCTTTGTTATTTAACCAAATTCAATTACAAACAATGAAATATCAGTTCCAAATTGTACTTGTTATCTTGCTCAAATTATAAATCAAAATGTGTTTGGAATGTAATTTTTATTTGGCACAGTATATAAAAGCTGTCTTTGGCACACTTTCTTGCACTTTACCTTGATTTTCATTTAATTTGAATTTGTTCTTTGATCATCTCAATTTATTATAAAGTACACTAGTTTTACTTGTTTACATTTGTTTTGGTTGGCCTATGATATGGTGTTCTTGCAGTGTATGAAGTAAAGATATTTATGTATGAGTAAAAGTGGTTGTATATGTTTGTGTTTCTAATTATTTTTCCTGTTCCTGACTTTATATATCCTGTATGTACTTATTGCACTTTGTATAGTGTATAAGATAAAGGGAGATGTAATGAGGTATACAACAGCATGTGTTTTTTATGTTGATTGGTTGTGTGTCTCCATATATATAATATTTAAAAGATTGAGCATTTTGTATTCATATGATCAGTTGTGGTCCAGAGGCACATCTTTTAAATGTCAGAAGGCAAGGAGACATTCGTTTTGAATAAAGAGCTTTTGGTGTACAAGGCACATGGTTTGAATGTACAAATTACAAATTGCATTATTGAATTAAATTAAAAAATGTTAGCCATGTTGAATTACATCCCAGATCTGTGCCTCATGCCTTCAACCTCTTCACACAGCATGCCACTGTAGGTACACCTCAAGCATGTCTTGTATTATGAATGAAAAACCATCAGCAAATCAACATTACATGTACAACATGGATGATTAGTATTTTAAAGACCTCTATCCTCCATGTTTTATTTATTTATAAATCTTGTACAGCTCATCTCATTTTATCATTAGATGTCTTTATTCATATTTCAATTCAATGTTGTGTTATATTTCTTGCATGTGTGACCATCCATTGTATCTTCCTCTTTACCATTTTGTACATTTTTCTACTAGTACTACACTGTAATTTGTTATAATTGTGTATCATGTTTGTCCAATCAGATGTTCAATTTCAGTTAATACAATGCTTGGTGAGGTCACACCTGTATAGCATTTTTTACAAATGCATTATTATATTTTGCCAAGTACCACTTCATATAAATCTAAATTATCAAATGTCAAAAAAAGTTTATAAGCTGTGAAGAATGCAAACATTTTGGATTGTTTAAACATCACATTTGCCTCCCTATTTCAGGCATATCAAACTTATTTATTTTCAAATTTATTAATAAATATTCCAAGATATGTCTATGGTTTAAATTAATAAGTTCTTGAATTGACATTTTGCTAGTATCAGTATTTGCATTACTTTCCTCAGTCTATCTGTACATGCATTTACCATGACTAATTCCACTAGAGAAATTTATTTAACTTTAATTTTAATAATTGATAAGAATAATAATTATATCATGATAAAACAGATTGACAAACATCTTATTAGACTGGTTAATGATGGTCACTGTTTAAATTAATTAAGCATTTTAAATGTATAATTATCCTTATCTTTCTTATTTATGAACCATTAATATTTATTAAATATATTATTTTTATCGGTGTAGCTCTCCTAATCTAAATATTTTATTGGATTGTCTCGTTGTATTCCTGTAGTTTTTGTCAACGTCAATATTTTATTTTGTAACTGTCACATGTTTTCAACTTGTGAAGTTGTACCATGTGCGTTGTTCTCATCTGTTTTTTTTTTTTACTTCTGATCTCTGTTCCTGTGTCTCTAATGGTTCGTATTGCTAATCTCTGTATTGTATTAGTATTGTTACTTGACTGTTGTCTTGTTCAGTAGTCCATTTGAGTGTTTGTAATGCTGTCTATTTTGTGTTCTTTATATCTTTCTGACAATTATGACTTGCATGATGTTCACAATTTTGTTGTGATGTCCCACCCCACTGTGGGTGCAACATTCCACACCCTCTGTGATTGTGATGTTAATGTGGTTTAGTTGATCACATTAATGGTTGTGGTTCCTGTGGTTGTATGACTGTTTCATTGTATGGACCCCCACCCATTGTCTCTTACGGGTTGAATCTGTATTGAGTAAACTCACTAAACTCGGTATTCAGTGATTAATATTATAGTATGATCCTTGTTCTCATTGAATGTGGTTAAAAACCGATGCATGCAAACTGGTGATGGGAAAGATTTGGTAGAGGGCAGCATACAATCTTTACTTAATATCAGTGCACGCATGTGTGCTTGTCTTTGCCATGCATAAAATTTGCACAAAGTTAAATAATTTTTTTTTTTTAATAGCTTGGTATTTTTACCTCGATCAAATAACTTCATTTAGCTTTTATTTTTAACTTATTTTCAGTTTCTGGTAGCATTTTACTACAAACAATTTCCACATTAAATATATTTAATTTCTTGTTTAGGTACTTGGAAGTTTACAATTCATAGTCGACGTTTCTCGTACAATCTCTACACACCTTCAAATGAGGAGGCGTGGAAATGGACATACGCAATTCAAGAGGTTATAGACAGCAAACCACCGTTGGAAACCCCAACTCAGATTCTAATCAAGGAATTGAGGGTCAGATATTTTATACATTTAATATTTATATTTGTTTTAGCAAATTTCTCATTGAAGCAATTTATTGGATCTTAGTGGATATTTCCTTCTTTATTTACTTGGGTTATTTTTTATAAATTATGTGATATTGGGTAAATAGTTTCATCTGGTTTCAAATAGCAATAAATATGTATAATTCCTTGTGATAAACCAAATATTACTCACTGTTTTTTTGTTGTTGACAGTTTCGCCTGGCTATCAGTCAGGCTTCATCAGAATCTGTGAAGGGTTTCTGCCGATGCTCGTTGGTAGAGGGCCGCTCCAGCCGTCTTTAACAGTTGATCATATAGGTGTGAGAGGCGATGTTCATTCATTGTAGAAGAAGGAGAAATAACGCCACAATGAATAGAGACGAAGGCGCACATCACCTCTCACACCTATATGATAAACTGTTAAAGACGGCTGGAGCGGCCCGCTACCAACGAGCATCGGCAGAAACCCTTCACAGATTCTGACGAAACCTGACTGATAGCCAGGCGAAACTGTCAACAACAAAAAACAGGGAGTAATATTTGGTTTATTACAAAGAATTCTACATATTTAAGTGATATTATTATTATTATTATTATTGGTGTGGTAGTAGTAGTAATAGTAGTAGTAGTAGTGGTGGTAGTAGTAGTAGTAGTAGTAGGTATCGTGCTTTTGTGAGTCTTAGCATAGTGCTCAGTAACACTGAGATATGTTTGACAGGTGTAGCAATCACTTAAATTCTATTCATATTAATTTATTGTATAATTCTAGTATTCTCTTCAATTACTATTTGTTCTTATAGGAAGCAAGTTTGAATGGTTACAATGATTCAATAGATGAGATATACAAGTTGAACCCAATTCTACGCAACGTTCCATATATGCTCAAATCACCACTTCTTCCACTGCCATATGGACAGATCATAAGTTCAAGTAAGTCTGAGTATAAATATTCAAGTTGGATATAATTAATAATTAAAAAAATAAATAAATGAATATTTTTTAACAAAGTTATTGACAAACAGGGAGATCACTATTAATTTGAAATAAATATAATTAATCAATAGAGGAACATTTAAATACATAAGTTTATAATGAAGTACGTATTGTTATGGGTGTACATTTGCTTGCATCTTATAGATGTAGATAAAGGATATACAACGTTACAAGATGAAGCAGTCAAGATATTTAATGTTTTACAAGGTTCCGAACAATTAGCCGATCCAATGCCAGTTATACAGGTAAGGTCACTATGCCAAAAATGTCAATGATTAGGAATCATTTTTCTGTTTGTGATTTTTTTTTTTTTTTTTTTTTTTTTTCAATTCAAGAACCAATCATTTTGTGTTAATACTACAATTTGGTACCATACCATTGTTCTTGTTAACAGTATTTAGAAGTATTGTACAACTAATTAAATCTTGATTTTGTTGAACCGCTTGTCATTAAAAATCTCACAAATTTAGATATGAATGGTGCTTGACTTGACCTTAAGTAGATTTTTTTTTTTTTAATTGGTTCAAACACAATTTTTGAAAGGATTACGACCTCCTTTGAATATTTCACATCTGTACATCCCATAACTAACTTTTATCTGCCATCCTAAATTTTGTTTATCTTGTACAGAGTTGTCTTTATAACAACATTTACTCTTCTCAGGGTATTCTGCAAACGTGCCAAGATCTAAAGCCGCTGCAAGATGAGATATACTGCCAACTAGTGAAACAGACAGCGTGGGTCAAAGACCCAGACAATCTCAACAATCTACGTAATTGGCAGATCCTGTGCTGCATGAGTTGTACGTTCCTGCCATCCAGAAGCATCCTCCGATACGTCCGTTTCCACATCAAACGGTGAGCTCCAAATGTGATGTCACCATGTTTATCAACAACAAATTATGGCTGTTATATAAGCGCTATAATCAGCTATCACATCATGTGACATACACTCATATCCATGTCAGAGTGTTACAACTACAACCTATCTGGAGACACTGATTCAAATGCATATTAGAAATAATGATTACTGATAAGAGCTTCATCACAAAAATTTTAGGTCTATGTACAAAAATATTTCAGTATGGTATTTACAAATATTTCAATGTGATTTGAGACACCTTGTCCTGTATGTTAATTTCAGTGCTGTGAAGCAGACCACTAGAACTGTATTTATTTCATTAACATTTTATTAATAAGAATTTGCTTATTTTTATTTCTTGGTATATTTTAGACAAGTTGAACTGTATCCAAAGACTCAAATGGCTGCGTATGCCGGCTATGGACTTGAAGCTCTGAAAAGGACAAGAACCAGAGAATTTGTGCCTTCCAGAGATGAGATTATTGCAATATTGGTGAGATAGTAGTTAATTGACTCATTGACAGATTGTTTAGTGTACAGGGTTCGAATTTCCTCAAAATGCTCCATTAGCAAGAAGCTGCTGTAGGCTATGACTTTTCTACAGCAATTTATTCTTCTTCTACAACAACAATAAAAAATTTTATTGTTTTTAAGGGGAAAATCAGTTGTTAGGCCTAGCCTGGGTTAAGCAACTCGACAGCTAAAAGCTTGCTGTCGATCCTGGGATTTACCACAGCAGTGCAAGGCTGTTTCTACAGCAATTGCTATCGTTGCTGTTGGGAAATTCGAACCCTGGATTAAAATATAAGATAACTTGGATAAACTTTATTGTCATGACCACAAACAAGGTGAACATGAAATTTGGTTTCTTTGATGCTTAACTACATAAATAATACAGTATGAAATAATAACAAAAACTAAAGATTAGTTGCACTTAAAATATAATAATACACACCTAAAAAATAGTTTCTTAACTTTTTTTGTGATCTCTGCAATGAATCTCTTTATCATCATACTCTTTGTACAGCTAGTTTCTCTGAAAACCAGCTAAGCTAATGATTTACTTTTTATTTTGAAATGTAATTATTCTTTAAAAAATTATTATATTTGTAGGGTCGACGAGATATGAATGCTACAGTGTTTTGCCATGGTGGCGGTTCCTGCCAGATATCAATCAACTCATCAACTACAGCTGGACAGGTGAGACTGGGGTAAAACAGAATTGGGGAAGGGTGTAAAGAGAGAAAGTAGAAACATATGTGTTAGTAACTAATTTACAAAAATTAGCAATCAAGTGATTCATTGGTTTTCGTGTCTTTGCAGGTTATTCATACATTGGTGAAAGGAATGAATTTAGATTCTTGTCACAATCGTTTTTCTCTTTATGAGAAGAGCGGCCTTGTAGAGAAGGCAATAGACGATAGATCAGTTGTTGCAGACATTCTAGCAAAATTCGAAAGGTGAGCCTCGAAACATCTTCTGGGATATTTTTATGAATAATCATCACAAGGTATAGTTAGGATACGGTGTTATATTATCCAACAGAGGAAGTAGTAATCATTTAATTCAAAGCATATATCCAATTATTGATAAGAATGGTTAAGTGTGGATTGGAGCTGCATGACAAGCAAACACGTCATCTTTTTGCCTCATAATCATTCAAGTCAGCCTTTTTGGCTATTATTTTGCATCTTTTTTTTATATTAATTCCTGTTTTTTTAGCCAAAAAGCTCAAAATGGTGAGAAAGATGGAATGAACGAGTCAAGGTAGATTCACAAGGACGTTTTCTTTTGCATTTTCAGATCAGTAACCTACTCCCACTAGCAAGCAGATTTGAAAAATGATTCCTTTCTGAGTGTTCTTTTCAAATCTTTTATGCTAGTGGTCAGATTAACCCATCTAATCTAACAATTAACAGTCTTGGTCACTGGTGTATCTGGTCTGATGAATCACAAAATAACAGGAGATTTTACCTTTCCCACTACCTGCCTGTTGCATTGCATTGTGGGACTGAGAAACAAAAATTGAAATATGAAACCGACAGCATTAACATGTTCATGAAAATGTTTCCTGTTTGACAATGGCAATTCCATTTTAACATCTGGATAAGTTTGCTCAAAATTATTTTAATTATAAAACATTTGTATGTTACTGAGGAATGTACACAAATTTTGGTAACAATTCCATTTTCATGAAAGCAATTTTGTAATGCTGAACCCTAGCAGCTGCACTTGTAATTAAAACCAAAGCGAGTCATGTTGGTGTATGCAGTGACTTAGTGTGTTCACACATTGATGCAGGTTTCGAGTCTCTTTCTGTGATGTGTAAACTGCAAAGCTATGGAATGAAAGAGAACTGGCATGTCGAGCTTGGCTATATTTGCTATGAGTATGGTCTTAAGACATTCCCCTGTCTCCTTATTCCCTAACCCTTAGCTAATGTTATTCATTGGTGTTTTTTTTCCCTTTCTTTTCTATTTCCTATCCCATTTTTATTCCTTATCCCCTTATTTATTTCCCATCCAATGTTATTACTGTACCTTCATTTTATTTCTTATACGCATTTCATTAAGCCGGTTTCATTTATTCCATATCTTATTTATACCTAATTCTCTTGTCCATTTTTCACAGAATCGAGAGTCCATCCATTTTTATTCCTCTTAATGTATTTTGTTCCCCCACCTTTGTGTCTTAAATTGAACTATTTTTTATTTTCTTTTGAAATTGTGTAGTTAATTTCATCCGCAATCAAATAATAAATTTATTTTTAATTACTTATTTATTGTTTTTATTTTATACAAATACAATCCTATTGCCCTTTTCTTCCGACTCCTGTTTATGTGTTTGCTATACTGAAAGTCTACTTTTTTTTCTCTGTGAAACTTTCTGTGCAACAATCAGTTTGACTTTGGTAATTTTCTCTGTGAAACTTTCTATGCAACATTCAGTTTGACTTTGGTTAATTCAACATTTATTTTATTTAAAATAAATTATTCCTAAATGATTTTCTATAAAACAGCGATACACTTAAAAAAAATATTTTGGTTTTTACAATAAGAAAATTTTTAAAATTGAATTACCCTTTTACATTAAAACTAAGTCCATCTTAATTGGGTTGTAATTTGAAGTGTTGTGGAAACTGATCTTACTAGTGCATGTTAAAGTTATAGAAAGTTGATCAAAATTGCATAGCAGTAAAACAGTAGTCATGTATTCAATCAGCAGTTTTGGTAATTGATGGTCAGTAAATTGTCATTTATGATAATATATTTATTTAGTCATAAGGCCTACACTGAAGGTCTATATAAGGTTTTTGACCAGCGTATCCATCCTCATGAATTTTGGTTTCTAGATATTAAGCACGGGGCTAAAATTTGTGATTAAGGTATAAAATATAAAATGCTTTTTCAAACATCATACAAGAATTGTGAGATGCTCGTTGGTGAAATACAGTACCACATGTATTGGATGTGAGAAAGTACAGCATAGACCAATGGTAATTGGTCAGATCATCCACATCCTTCTAATGAATATAGGACAGTATAACTTTAAGACCTGTATACAGTATAAAGTTTAGTTTTAATGCTACATTAGAAACCAAAAGCACTACATTTTCCCATTTGGACAACAAAGTAGAATTAGTGAAGTAAAACTTCCTCATGTTAGAAGACATGCATGCAGGCTCACCACATTCTTTCAGGGAAACGCATTACAGTTTGACGTGGACTAAGTAACTTGTTTTGTGTAATTAATGATTTTGTCAATGGTCGAATGTTTCATCTTAGAATTTTTGATTAATGGTTGCTTTCAATCGTGTTTATAATTGTTGTCTACCTGCTTATGATCAATTAATGGGTTTTTTTATTTTCATATGTGTGAGCATTATTATTATTAATATTTAGTATTATCATTATCATTCAACTTGTTGTTTTAATTGGAGTAATTATATTTATTTTATTTTTGTTTTTGGTATTACTATTTTGCAAATCTCTTTAAATGTGTGAATATATTTGCGATATTTAACAAATTTGTAAATGTTTGATCAGATTCAGAGCTCGGGGTCTGAGTGACCGAGGTAAGCCATGGCAACTTTTCTTCAAGCTCTTCTGCTTCCTGGATACTAAAAGTGTCAAACCAGATAGCATTGAATATAGTTTCCTCTTTGAACAGGTAAGCAGTGTCTGTTGCACCGTGCTTCACACCAGTCTAACACCATTCACACAGTGAGTGTACCGATATACCACCATTATTAGCAAGTCTACCGCAATTCATACATCAGTCTATCACCATTCAGTATACTGAACATCAACTATTAACATACAAATGTACCACCATTCATTCACCCATCTTTTACCATTCCAGGGGTCCCAAGTTGTAGAACTCCATTCGCAGGAGATTTTGATGGGAACTTTAGCCGCCTGCAAATACAATGCGCGTCGTGTTGCAGTCAACAACTACTCATAATATCAAATACTTGACATTCAGTGATCAGAAAACAGTTAAATTACTAGCCCTTGCTAATATTAAGCAATTACTAGAGCTCCGCATAGCACACTATATGAAAATGATTAAAAAGAACTTGTTTGTAATGCTATTTTGATAGACTTTTTCAAAGAAAGAAACATTTCAGCATTCGAGAGAGAATACAGTCACTGACGTCCTTTTTGGTCGGTGCATGCAGACAGGTAAAATCGTGCGATGATTTCATAACTAGGCTATGGCCTAGTAGTAGTAGGAGGAGGCCTGGGCTGCCTCGTGCCTTGAGTCTTTAAAATAGGTCTAGAATATTCCTATTAAACGTTCGGTTTCTTGTGTTTATGAGGGTCCATTGATTCAATGAATTCCTTAATTGTTCATACTTAATATTGAATTTGAAGTAACTTTCTTCGGGTTCTAATTAAGCTTGTTTTACGAAAGTAATTTTCAATTACAATTCAATTTTTATCGCGTTGCATGATGTATTCGCGGTGACAAAAAATGAGGATTTTGTTTTGCACACGAACCTAAAAAAATTCAAGCCAAGCGTCCACTAATAGAAAAATTAGTGGACTCTGGGGAATAGGCAAATAACATTTGGAGTTACAATGATGACGTCACGATTGACTTATAATATATATTATTCATTTATTTGCACTTAGAGGCCTACATCAATATTATTAATTACATCAATTTACACTTCTTTTCTGGCATCTGTAAACTATATACATTGATGGTAGGGATTGAAATAAACTTATTTGTGATTGTTTTTTAACATCCTGAGCCATGTTTTTACCTAGTAGGCCTAGGCTTGAGCTGATCTTCAAAATTAAGTATTTAAATTTTCCAAAATTTACGGGAAGAATTTTGTTCAAGCGGTAGAAAAACGTAGACTAACACTAGCACGGTAGATCGTCGCTAAAAGCGGTAGAATACCGCAAGTAGCGGTAGACTTGGGACCTCTGCCATTCATGCCACCAATTATACATCATCATTCACACACCAACCTACTACCAATCACAGACCAATCTACCACCATTCACAGACCAATCTACCACAATTCATGTACCAATCTACCACCATTCACAGACCAATCTAACACCATTCACAGACCAATCTACCACCATTCACAGACCAATCTACCACAAACCATCTCTTTTTGCCAGTCTATCACCATTATAATATGTAATGGTTTGCCAAGAAAGTTTTCAAAATATAATTGATTTTTATAAAAAGATGATGAAAATATATTTATGGAATTATCTTGCAGGCTCATGAGGAGGTTATCCGAGGGAAATTCCCAGCCTCAGAAGAGCAGCTCATCCACCTGGCAGCTCTCAGGATGCAGTTTGACAAAGGAGACTATCTCCATGGTGACTGGATGTAAGTATACCTATCAGGCAAACAAGTCAACAGGTTCCCCATGTTACCTGAATTATCTTTCTTGAGTTACTTTTAAGTTACTGCTCTTGAATACAAGAATATGAAACAAACTCCAAAGAAAGTGATGCCAGTCAACATGTTTCAATACTCCTAATTTTGTGTGTTCTAAATTTTGACATTGAATTCAATTCAAATTCAAATTTATTTATTCTTAAAATACAAGTAAAGTAGTAGTAAATTGGAAATAATTGAAAGGAAACACCAAGGAGCTTGAATCAGAATGGCTTGCTTTAACATCTATTATGTCAGATTTATTAGTGGAACCCATTAACTCTTGAATAATTTAGAAGAAATAACTAAATTTCTCATACTATTGTGTTTATTTGTCCCTTCTAATATCATTATGAACATCATTGCTTACACACACACTAATCAGAAATACTTTTTTTTTGGATAGAAATGATCTAACTGAGGTATATCCAGTGGACAGACTGAAGGTGAAGCCAAAGGAAGATACTGATTTTGGTTTTCAGCAAAGAGAACGAAAAGACACATTTATTCATGTAAGATACCAATTTAGTACTGTACTATTGTATTAGTACTAAGGTAAAGCTTTACATATAAAAGTACAGACCAAGAGACAAATGCAAATTAAGAAAAAGAAAAGTGATAAGCATATGTACCGTAAAATAATGTGATGTAAATTCAATTTATGAACAGGGAACATTGAGAGGTATTGGTGAGAAGACGTTGAAAAGGTTACAGAAGTCTGCATCAGACGACAATATTCTGGAGTCTGTCTACAAAGATGATGTGTCAGCAACTATCACTGCCATTATAGATAAATGGAAAACACTCAAGGTACAGTATATACAATACTATTTTATTATTTAAGTACAGTACCTTATTTTACACCAACATGATTCAAATCTTGATGAATCAGGGCCTTTTCTCTCTAATAATACCTTACTCTATGTGTCACAGGGCACAACTGCTGAGCGCGCTCAGAACATCTACATGGGATTCATGCGATCCTGGAAACACTTTGGATCAAGGTTGTTTGAGGTAGAATGTCATGACAGTCGACAAGCATACCCCAAGAACCTGTGGTTGTCCGTCAATAAATCAATGGTTGCTGTTCACAAGATCAACGATCCAAATCCAATTGATGAATTCCCATATGAGAAGTAAGTACAAAAATATTTATTCATAAATTAATATTCATAACATAGAATTACTACTTGGAAATAACTATATAATTTATATGGACTTCAGATCATTACTCCCAGGTGAAACATTGGAAACCAAATTTGATGTCAACCAAGTTGTGCATGTTGATAATAATCGATATTGTGTCTTGCTTCAATTGATTTATGCTTGTTTATTCTGTTTTATTATAGAATTCTCTCATTTGGTGCCCCAATTCCCAATGAATATAAGATCATAGTTGAAGGCAGAAGATCAGAGTTGACCTTTGACACAACTGAGGTAGGTTTTATCACCATAATAAACATTATACTACCATAACAATATACTTACTGGTTTAGTACAATGTCTAAGGTGGTTTGTCTGCACTATTATTATTAAGAATAAAAGTGCAAGAGAGAGTCAGCATTATAAACTGTTGTTCCATTTGTTGCTGGTATGTTTTTTACATATAACAGTATTGATAGCTACAAATACTGCTACAAAATCTATTTTATGTTCTAATTTATATTATTTTTGTTCCAATAGGTATTTGAAATTGCCAAACTCATGAAAGCATACATCAATGAAATAGTTAAAAAGAGGAACATGATACCAGCCTAGCGATAGTGATTATAACAGTGCAAAACCTCACCTATTTAGAAGGTGCTGGAGATGATGTAGATTAGGGAATACAGTATGATGTAACCATCGAAGACAATGTCACCAGAAAGTATTATGTCACCCTGCAAGACATAGATGGTCTTCAAATAAGGACAATGAAACAACGGAAAAGATATAGAACAATTTACACTGTTATAGGAATGTCTTTTAATGATAGGGAAATACCTACCAGGCTAAATATCTATTTAAATTCTGTACCAAAAATATTTATTAAGGAGCTTTTGAATCTCGTCATTGGTAAGGTCTAGGATTTAATGGCACTACTCTGGTCTGCAGGATGTCATGGATGAGAAAATTGATCCCAGGTCATGTCATGGTTATCTAAACTCTAAGCAAACCAACTGTGTCTATTGAAACTCATCCCAAATACTATGTACTTGTATACTCTTTCCATGATTGGTATGATTCGATTGTTAATACATTGCTGAGAAAAAAAAAAACTTATCCATTGATCAAATTGATAGATTAATCAACATTTATATAAATTATCAAATTATTATTGGCCAGTGTTGAGGATTTAATAGATTTATGAATAATATATTTAGTAATATTATACTAAAGAATGGTACCAACTTGCTGAGTGGGCAGTTACCAAAGCAACTGTCTTGGCATTGAATTCCCAGTGTGAGCAATACATTTTACTCCGAAATGATGAAAATGTTAAATTCACCAGAATGGAGGATTAATCCATAGAGAATTTCTCTACAATGAATTTAATTGATTTTGATTTATTATACATAGATGAATTTCCCCAAAGTTACTTAGGTTCTTCCTTGTGGTTGTAAGCAATTATGTACAGAAAGAATAGTAGAAATGATTTATTAGCTAGGACATTACAAAAAAGGGTTGCCTTTTCATGATGTCACGGTGCCTTTGCAAAGATATATAATTATATGTAAATTGCTAATTACTTAGTTCAGTTAACATGTTTAATTAAACTCTAATTGGAACATTTTTTTTATATTTATCACATGATTAGTAAATTGCAATTAACATAAAAAAGTTTTAATGAATAATTCCTACCAAATAATTGTATTTCTTATTGTTCTTATATGTTCCTTGTTTAGTCAATTGTCCAAAGTTTTTACTAAACGAATATAATGTTATATGTTTAAAGGTTGTATCATTGGTTTAAAATCAGAGTTTTATTTTTATTAATGTCTGAATCTGATGAAATGAACCTCATTTTCATTTCATATTGCCATTTCTATGTAAAATATTTACTTCGCATCAGCAGTATTGTTGCAAACCAAGTTAGTTATGAGCATGCTATGCCAATAGCAAATGAATTTTTACAAATTATAAATGAAAAATATAAAGTACCTATCCCTGTAAATGTTGTGAAGTACAGTATATATAGTAAAAAGTTCAGGTAATGTGTTAACTAATTGAAGTCAAGGTAAATGGCAAAGGATATAGCATATGGTTTAAATGTTGATGTGATTGAATTAGGAAGGTTTACTACTAGTAGGTTTGCCAGTAGGGTTAGTGGAAAATAATTACAAGCTTTATCCTTATTTGAACATATACACAACAAACATTTGGGGATCCAAATTTGACGAAATAAGTGATAGCAGCTAAAACTAAGTGATCATATTGCAATTCATGGTTGGTTCAGTGGGGAAGGGGAAGATCTAGGACGTAATGTTTGACTAGTGTGTATTTACCCCAGGTCTAATCAGGCATTCAAGTACCAATATCCGACGGCCTTGTTTTGGTGTATAGCACGGAGAGAATACATATGATGCATAATATAAATACTGTATCAAATTATTATTATTTGAAATCAATTAAGGAAAAGTTTTACATTATTTTATTTTTGAATTTTTAGTTATATTTATGGGGTCCAACCTAGTACAGTAACAAGATTGTAATTCTGTTCAATAACAAAATAGATTTGTTTTCTATACATTTCTCAATCTAAATGCACGGGAATTGCATGATACATAAAGTGAAACTACTGTAGATGCTTAATAGTTGTTTTTGGTGTGTAAATGTTGTACATTAATTTCTATGAGTAAATCTAATACAGTTTATATCTGTAATTTGATATTTGTTGGTACCATAATTTATTGTTTACTTTTTCATCCAAATGTTCTTTTGGCCGACTGAAGGATAATATTTTATCCAGTGCCAGATTGTGTAATTGTTCAGTCCCTGTGCTATTATCATTCTCATTTGTTAAAATTTGATATTAACAGACGATTTTTATGAAATGGAAATTTAATTATAATGTTGATGAAAATTTCAGCTTGTTAGCGTACATTCTTATTTACTTGATAGCGATGTTTATTTTTCTATAAACTGTTTTGTTGCATTGCATTCATTATTTATGTTTTTCACAATGATTTTCTTGGTTTTCATTGTTGTGTCTTTAAACTGTTGATTAACAGTTAATTGGTAAATTTAAAATAGAGATTATTTGTAAATATTTGATATTTTTTGTAAAAAAAAAAGTAAACACAACAAAACTAACATAGATTAAGCTATTTGACATTGTATACAACAGTAGATGGATTAGCATATCTCAATAACAATACTAAAAATCTGCAAAAGTTTGCAAAAATTTGAAGCCAACAAAAGTTGCGTAGGAGAATCTAGAGGTTAAATAAATTTCCCATAATTTGATGTATAAAGAATGAGTGAATATTGCAAGTGAATAACTTTATGCAGGAGCTGACTAAACTACCTCTGATAATAACCATGTATTGCTTCCTGTCCTCTAGTACTCATTGACGCTGCCAATCCGGTACACAGTCGTTGCATTGCTTATTCATTAATCTGGTTTATAGATGTAACAAACTGTCGCTAATTTACGCGAAAACATATATCTGAGTAATAGTGATTTCAGTTGGTTTTGGTCAGAAAACCCTAAAGGTAATTTTTATTTTTGGTGTTTGGATGGCTTTCTTTTGAAAACACTTACACATAAAATGCCATGGCATAAAATAGTTCATTAAAATTTCATAAGTCAGTATCCTAATTCACTTTAGGCAAAACATGTTTAATAAGTAGTTACTAAAAGTGTAGCATTAAATGCTATTCACATACTGTTAACAGCCTTAATACATAAGCTAGCAATTAGCTTATTCTGCATCAGTAGACTAACACACAAGTAGATAAAAAGTTATTTAATCCAAACAATGATGATTCATTTAAATCCCATATCAGATGATATTTTTTTCATTTTTAAACTAAAAATACATAAGCATCAATGTAGTATAATTAGTTTACTTAAATTATGTAATGAATAAACAAAAATAGCACTATCAGAATGAGGTGAATAAAATGTTATTATTGAAGATGTACAACAAAGGGGCGGGATCCTCTAAATAAATTTTCATATTGTACTGTGCATCTATTTATTAATTTTATTAGGTTTTGAAAACAGAAAAAAGATGTTCCCACAGTGTGAAAAGCAACTTTTGTATTTTTTGTTTCATTTGTAGTGTTGAGTATGTTCCTCTTTATGTGTATGTTGATTTGACTGCAAACTCATGCATTGTGCATTTTCAGTTTTGTATACCATGTGGACGTTTTCAATTGAATAATAAATACAAACAGCATTGGAATATTTCATTTATGGTTTGCTTTTCTAATTGAGCATTTGTCTAATACAGACAAATATATTTCCACACCATTTCACTTTATATGAATTAGTAGCACACTTATGAACAGCTAGACATTTTTTAGTTTATCTTATCTCTATAGCACATTTCCTTCAGGATATGAAACGTTTTTTACCCTGGATACAGAGTGCATGGTGTGAAACCTTTGTTCTCTGGAAGTATTCCTAGTTAAGAATCTTTAATGATTTTTAAGCAGCCTGTCCCAATCAGCTACTATGTATACTGTTTTAAAGAGCGCCTTCACCCGTAATCAGCACTCTCAACTTCATTCGCCTCCCACCGATTTCAGTCTATATTTCTGTGCGTTTATATTTCTGTGCGAAAAGAGGCGCAAATGTAATCTTGTCCAAGGACATAAGACTGTGTATGGATTTTCCCAAACAATTTAGATATTCCACGGTAATTCTCCGACAATGAATGAGATACTCATGCCTTGTCTACTCTGCTGAGTAAATAAAAATCAAAGCAATTTATCACAGCCTCATTATATTCTGCAACTTAGCCGAGGTTGATTATAGAAATACAGAGCATATGTATTTGCAGATAATGTGCTTTGGTTCGCCAAAAAAAATTGAGTCAGAAAGTGGGTCGCCACCTAAAAATTGAGAAGCAGGGCTGTAGTATACAAAAAACATATAATAAAGGCATAGGCTTTAAAAATCAATGAATCTCTGTTACTCGCCATGCATCAATGACTAGTGCTGTCCAACTACGCATGCACGTGAGTTTGAAGGATTGGGTGCTTTAATAGGATTTGGATGCACACTTATAGATTCCTCTTCTTTCACCAAGTGTACTCTGATTTTTAAACCAGAAAATTATAATAAAAATAATAAAACGCTTTCAGTGACTGGAAGTGTGTCTATCATTTTTCGCTGTAAACTGATGGGTAGACATTTTTAAGTATACTAATTTCTATGTTCAAATTGATAACTTTTATGTTACTTCAAAATGGGCGAGTTAATTTCAAAAAATATTTTTATGATTTTTTTGGTATTTAGCATGGGACAATACATCATCAAGTTTTTGCTGCTTAGCACTAGGAACACAAATAATGCAATAATGCATAAATCAAATAGCCAATAATACACTGCTTAAATAATTATATATAAACAGGCTGTTATAAATCGTATGAAACATAGTTCATTAACGAAAGTTCCTTAGTAGCTGCATGAAAAAAAACTTATTTTGCTAATTAGCGTCCCACAATCGATCATCGAGCCCCCACTCCACTTCACAACTTCATCAGCACCCCCATTTCAAGACTTTGTTGTATATTATTTGTCTCTAACGCGCGTTTTTGTAGCTTCAGCGCGGCGTTGACGATCACAGCATCGCCATCGGTATGAAAAAGACAACTTATTGGCAAAGTACTGTGCTTAAATAGGACTTTAAGAATTGATAGTGAAATGCCAAGATTTCCATATACAGTACCTAGGCCTTTGTATTATTGTGAACACAGGTACTTCGAAATCTATAAAAATAACTATTGTGTGTGGGGGAACAACAGACTTTTGAAACGATGATGTTGATCTAACATTCAACTATCCTGTACAAGCTTAAATATTCCAATTGCTGATGGCATACAATAATCAAACCTCTTTGTTTGATAGGCCTATTATTATTATTATTATTATTATTATTATTATTATTATTACTATTATTATTAGGCTATTTTGCATTTATAAAGCGGTTTTTCAAAAGGATCAAAGCGCTGTACATATCAAAGTTCAAAATATATATTTATATATACAGAAATCTTAAAACTACCGTAGTTAAGATACAAAACTACTTACTAGGAAACAGATACGTTTTAAGTAATATCAGCCCATCCCAGTAGGATGGTGTGAGTGGAAATAGTTTATCTAGGGAGCAGTGGTGGCGCCAGAGGGGGTCTGGGGGGGCTATAGCCCCGCTGTCGGGGAAGCATAGCGCCCCCCCCCCACCCGTCGGGGAAGACGAGTACATTTTGTCGGGGAATAAACAAATAAAAAATATATTTACATGTAATTTTCATTTAGCCACCATATTGTTTTCATTAAACTATTTGTGTTAACTTTGCATCACAACAACAACAACAACAATAATAATAATAATAATAATAATAATAATAATGATAATAATAATAATAATAATAATAATAATAATAATAATAGTTCAATAAGACTAATTAAAAATAATTTGCGTTCTGTTATGACAAATGCTCGTTTGGATAGCCTCACATGATGCTTGGAATACATCGTGATAGGTGAATCAACCTCGACCTTGACAGCGTGGTTGTCAAATTTCATGCAAAATTTTCAAAATGTAGAATTTCACTTTCATGAATGAGGATTTGAAAATAAATTAGATGGTTAGAATGCATACGCTTTGTTTCTTGTTTTATTCAAAATGTTTTGATTTTGGAAGTTGATTTCGACATTAGAAAACATAGCCACATGAAGTCGTATTTAACTCGATGCCTATCAAATAAGTAATAAGAATTCGCCATAATTCGTCAAATATCCTTGACAGTACTTTCAGGGGCTTAGCCTCCATGGACCCAACCATGACGGCCCCCTAGCCCCAGCCACGTGAGACTCGATTCGCTCCACTACCCCACCTCCCAGTCGGGGCCTTTAGCCCCTTCGTCGGGCAGGTCCTGGCGCCATCACTGCTGGAGATATGATGGCTTATCTTAGTAAATATTTTGTCTTTGAAATAAACAGCTTAATGAGGGTGGCAATTCTTGCATAGCATGGAGGAAATATATATTTCCTCCATGCAGGGAGTATTATCAATTATTATTTGTTACTAATTACCGATTATAATTGTTTAATAATCATTGTTAACTATTATGAAATATTTATTATGAAATTACTATAATTAATAAATGTATTGGCACTATACTACTACTACTACTACTACTGTTCAGTAACTTTCGTATTCTCTAGAAAAACAAAGTTGTGGTAAGTCTTAGAAGCATTTGGTTTTCTGAAAGTAGGATTTTGGAAGAGGCTTCTGCTTGCTTAATTCTTTTTCATTGGCAATTCTCGTACTGTAAAGGAAAAAATATTGCTGACGGGGAATGTACCCCTACCCCCCCCCCCCTTTTCCCGTCTTGCCACTAAATTTTAAAATTTCAATGCATACGGTATATTGAAATTAATGCTACTCATTACCTATTCTGAATATTTTGTCCCCCGTTTTGAAAAATTCTGAATCTTCCCCTTCCCCTTGAATCCACCTCTGTAAGACTCTGTAGGCCTAGGTGCACTCACAATTTTTTATATATCAAATGACTGGGTCGAAATTACCCAAGATTCAGCAAAAATTGCCCAAAATCACCCAAGCTTCCTGAAAATGCTTTTTCGCATGTATAGTTTCCCTTTTTGTTCAATTTATAAGGCCCATAAAAAAAATTATTAGTTTATCATCCTATCAAAAAGTAAAAACTGATGAGGGAGGGAGGTTTTTTTTTTTTTTTGCTAACCCCACCCCCATTTTACCGATGTTCAAAAGTAAATCAGTGGTTAGGAACACATATATAAAAAGTCATAAGAGTGGAATCAATTTTTTTTTTAAAGATGTTTTTGTTGTACTAGTAAACATATTTGTAAGAGATCCTGAGCTTTTCAACTGAAAAAAAGATGGAAAAAGGACCGTTTGAAATAAAAATATATGTTGATTGAAAAAAAAAAAAAAAAAATCAGATTTTCCCCAAAAGTGATGAGGGAACGGGTGATAAAATAATAATTTTTTTTATGGGGCCTAAACCATTTTTTATTGTAATTGTTTGTGTTAATTATTAAAATTAATATTCATGAGAATATGAGTGATAATACGGATAGAAAAATACGCCCTCAGTCGGCCAGTGTTATCAGTAGATACAGTGATCAAGTTTTATTATGTAATGCATTAAGATCAATGGCATCACAAATCACAAACAATTCTGAACCCATGTTTATAGAACAGTAAATTAACAATGGTATGTGCACTTTTGAGTTTTGCTTTACTTGAATGGACTGAAATTTCCTTTGTTACTTCTTAATTCTTTCTCTATGACAAAAATATTTAATTTTCTTAGTAAAAATTAAATACCCAAGGATTTGAACGGAATACCCAAGAACCCAAGACCAAGTCAAAATACCCAAGATCTTGGGTAAATAAATACCCAAGCAGTGGTCGGTCACGTTGGTGAAAGCGAAAAGAAATGAAAAGCAAAATCGCTTTAGACTTCATCACAAACATTTGAATTATCGTATTAAATATTAGTATATTATATATCTCATTTATCTTATTATATTCTAAAATATAGTAAAAACATGTTTAATAATTTATAGTAATTAAATAATATCGAAAATTATTAATTTATAAAGAAATTAAATTAATTTAAAATATATTTTTCTTCAATTATCATTCAATCTGCCATCGTCCATATTGAATTTCGCGCTTGTTTCCAATGGTGTCGAAATTAAGGAGCGTTTTTCATTCATTACTGGGTCCAGAAAGACCCAGCGTTTCAACCACTGGGCGAAAACGGAGTTTAGATGAGTATGTATAATAAATTATGCCATTTTCACTCAAAAAATACATTTAGTTTGTTAATTACAATCAACTTTTTACCATGATAAAATAGCTAGGCTTGTTGTCTTATTAATGAATGTTCTCTCTCCACACATGGACGTTTGTGATTGTCTGGGACATGTGAACACGAGTGGCAGAAGATCAATCTATCTACAGTAGGGCCTAGGTCTATGTTACTGGACACGGTTTAGCCTAGGCTTTGGGTGCCTCAAATGGATTTTGTATATTGCTGTCGTTCCGTAAACATGGCAATTTCGACTGAGCTATCTGAAAATATACCAGCTAACTAGGCTAGGCCTATTATTATAGGCTATATGGCAGTCTGAGTAAGGGCAGCTAGGCGGAAGGAGGTCAACTCAGCCCCAAGTCAACTCGGCCCCATGTCAACTCGGCCCCAACCAAGTCAAATCGGCCCAAGTTAACTCGGGGCCCCAATTTACTGTATATTTACGAAATAATTACCAAAAAAAGAATATGAATACAAAGCCAAACTACAGTAAGTATGCCAAAATTGAAGTGTTTTAAATCTTGCCTTTGTTATTCTTTTTTCATTAGCAATAATACAAACGGCATTAATACCAATAATATTAAAATAATAAAAAAGGCATACAAAAATGATAATAACGATATGAACATACTGATTTATACTGTAGGCACATCAAATATACATTGTCATTATCATATATATGTATATATACTTAGTACTAGGCATATTTAAATGTACTAAAATTCTTCTCCAATAAAGTTTTTCTATAGTCCACAGCCCTCAAAATTAACGCTGGCATTTGGCAATGCCGACGTAAACGACGGCGTCTAGTCGCCAAATGCCGACGAAAAAAATTGGCGACATGAAGATTTTAGGCCTAGCCCAGGCCTACGCTGAGGAATGAGTGAAGCTATGCATTTGTAATTTATACTGTACTGATGAATCTGCAACATCCAAATCCGAATTAAACGTCTACTGAAAGAGTCGGCCATCGTAGAAACTTGCTTTGATTTGCGGTTGATTACAATCAATTTTTTAAACAATGGAAGGCATAACATTCACTTTACTGGTGTTTTGTTTTAATCAGTACCTGTAGATAATCCCTATGGCAACAATATTGGGTCTGAGCTAGCTGTACGATGGTTCATTCACAAAGGGTGTTGTGCTACTGTAGGGCTAATTGTTAATTAACAGACAGTGATGATTATTGCCTTCATCTGGAAATTGTTGTTTATCAACTGTTTGTTTGTAGAAGTTGATTTATGTTCTGGACCGAATAAAACGTCTGGAATTCGGAATAGGGATATCCAGTTTTCGGAAAGTATTTTATTAAAGGAAGAATAGGAATGGGTTTGGCACTTGAAAAAAATTAATTGGTTTAGCGTGAAATTCTGTTTTATTGGCATTCCGAATTCGGAGATTCACTGTATTTTTTTGTAGTTTAATTTTATTCATCATCATAACATAAATTTTGTTCAACATTTTATCAACAATTACAGTAGTTAGTGAATTTGAACATCAGTACGTAGACTAGGCTTTCCAGCTTGATTCAAATCACTCAGCACTGCTATAACTGGTCAGCATGTGTTGATTTCAGGGCTGTGGCTGAAACTAAAAACTGCTGACGTATAGCACTGGTGCTTTTCATTTTTTTTTTCTGACATACTTTTTCCTAATTTTGAGGACTGAGTCCATATAGTTATATAGTATTCGTTTCTTATTATATTTATATATATGTATATACATATATTTAATATACATATAAATGTATATAGAGTCATTCCATGCCAACTCAACCAATTTACAGAAAGTTTCCACGGTTACCATCTTGGATTTTGCTGAAAATTTAATCAAATATACTTTGAGGGGTAATGAAAAATCCCAAAGTTTCATTGAAAAATTCCCAAGCATTCCGAAGTTACGGCACTTTTAAATTTTGAAGACACACCCCCTTTTTCAGACTCGCGAAGAGCAGCAATATCTTGTTAAGGTTTTTGAAAGGCAATATTTTCTCTACATACTGTACAGTAATAGAAAGCTGAAAATTGCTATTCTGGCTCAGTTCTGCCCATACTTTCTGATTCTGACATCAGATTCAAGCCCTGAATAAGCATTAAAAAGTTATGAGCATTTCAAAATCAGTTTTATTTGGGCAAAATTAATTATTTTAAGATTTTGACCTCAGGGCAATCAAGGGCTCTTCTGTGGTAGAAAATGCCAATCTTGCATTGCGACAATTTGCGACAGAGACAGTCTATATCCATTGCCAAATCCATTTAATATTTCTATTCAATGGAAAGCCAATTCCATGAAGATGCTCTTTGTATTAAGTTACTTCAACGTTACTACAGACGATTTACTCCTGAGCAGTCCCAGGAGTACAGTAAGTGTGCACTTCACATACACAAGGAATGGAAGGAATATGCGCTCAGAGTAGTGCCATGTAGACGCACACTTTAGAGCTCGCAAGCAAATACGGTACAGCCTTTTATAATGACCTCAATTTTTTTCAAAAGATTATTACCCACAAGTACGTGCCAACATAATAATTCCTGTGACGTGTAAACCTTTGTAGACATGATGTTTTCATAATTGTTTACAATTTAAAGAATGTGTGTGCAAAATAAAAGTTGAAAGACAACTAAAGTGGCGATTATCACTTCCGGAAAATTTGTATATTTACTTCTAAGCAAAGAAAATTATGCCCTAGGTACTATAAGCATCGTGCAGACACTCGACGGAAGTAACGCGTACATATAATTTTACATGTGTCTGAAGTTTACTTCAGAGTGAAGGCCCTCTGAACATGGTTGACATTTGCTGTACAGTAGGTTTTACACATTGTATTGATCATATTGCATTATTTGTTGTATCTGCTGTTGTAATTCAGTATTCTTTATTTTGTTATCCATATAGAGAGGTCAGTGATGATGAAGACAATGACTATGTGACACCCGACTTAAAGCGTCCAAAGCTTCATGCATACATTCATCAACCACTCCGTAAGTCACATGTTGAAAACTTCAATATCAGAAATTTCCATTTATGGGTTGGGGACTTCTATAGTGCATAAATTAATATGATTCAACATATTAATATTAATTTTTTCTACATAATGATATCAAAGACCTTAAAAGTTGAAAACATTCTAAAAAAATTGAAAAACACACAGGAATTTAGGCAACCAAATATCATCATGAAAGTAACTGAAAACAGTATTATGCATGAGTACATGAAATAATGCTTAACCTACCACTCAACGAAAGACTGAAATCTGACATTATTCGTCATTTCACCTGAAAAAAATGCAGGAAGCACACAAAATCTTGTGTGCCAATATATGTATACATCATTCATAGATGAGTTTGAGGATAATGGGAATATGCATTAAATATGAATATGGTATTTTAATCAATTGCTTGGTTTTTTAATATTTCAGAAGCTGTTGAAAATGGCAGTGATCCAAGTCCCTTAGTACGAGTGACTGAATGGATGAAGCAAAAGGCATTGTCGTTTGGGGAGAGTTATTTCTATCGTAAACCCGGTCAGAATCAAATTGAGAACAGACTCAGTGGCGATGTCCATGCTCATAAGGAATCATCTTTCGAAGGCATGTATATTTACAAACCAAAGAGAAATGGTAGCAGAAGACAACAAGCTCCAACTAGATTATTTGTAGGCGGGAAACAACATAAGAACAAGATGTCACATGTTGTCATTGAACAAGATTCTGGTTCGGAATCATCAACTCCTGAAGATAAACACAGTGAACAAGAAGGTAGCTTTACAGCAAAATGTCTTTAATTCTATTACTGTATACAGTAGAATCCCTCCAATAGGACACGCCTATCCTGGGGACATCAGTATTAAGGTGACACTTTTTCATGAAACGAGGGGAAATATATATTTTTTAACACTACGGCCAACCCTATCAACAATCAGTTTCTAATTGTTATTTCCACTTGCAAACCTCTTTCTTTATTCTGTTAGCGATAAGTTTGTTGCCTGCAGTCCTGTAATCTCAGAATTAGCTCTTTCTATTATTTCTTCAGTGTTTGGTATCTGTGATTTGTTTTCTTTAATTTCGCTTGGTAGTCAGACACAGCGGTTTCAATGCACTAAATTAGGACAATAAGTGTTTTCAACGCGCCTTTCACATATTTACGCACTGCAAGCCTCGAACAAACACACTCGCGTCGAGATTGGGTTCGTGCAAACCTACTGTAGCAAAACTGCATTTTTTAAAGCGATGGCTAGACCAAACCTGTTTTAATTTATTGTCCAATATACCGTAAGGTAATGAATACGATTGTTGATTCAAGCAACCACTAGTTGGTGCCCGAAAAAATGTTTTTTTTATTAAAACAATGATGACAGAATATCAGACATAATTAATAATATCACCAAACTTCAGATACTAAAAAAGAAATTTCGAAATATTATGAGATATTTTTGGACATTTTTAAATACAAGATAAGAATCCTAATATGCCTATAGCGACTAGACTAGACTGGACTATGTGAGAGCATATCCGTATATTTAAATATGCTAGGCCTTGCTTTGTTTACTTTTACTTCAGGGGAATAAACTTTTGGGCTGTCTTAAAATTTCATACCTGGTTCTTGTTTTATATGACATTGAAGAAAATATTTATTCCAAATAAGTGAGTGGTATGTTAATGAATCAAATAAAAGCAAACGGTAGGAGCCATCTTAGAAGACAACTGCTTTAACTGTGAATGCTCTCTGATATTTCAGTTTTATCAATGTTAAGTGGTAGAGGTAGTGTTAGTGATAAGCTTTCCTGCACAACGTATCATGCAGCTCAACCAGAATCTGACCTAGCAGGTAAGACTGGTCTGTAGTGTCAATCAAGTCATTCTCTAATTATTAATATTTGCTTAATAATAATAAGTATATTAATGATATTTGCTTAGTCCCATGATGAGAATGTGTGATTATAATATTGATAAATGTTTTTGATGTAATTCTGTTGAATCAAGTGGCTGAGCTTCAAGGCAGTAGAAATTCTAACGTCAGCCTTAACATTGCTGCTGGTTTGTGATCCTCTCTTTCAGTTTATATTAAACTAAATCCATTATGCATGTCTGTCTAGCTCGTTTGTATGTTAAAGAACCCATTGCAACTTTTGGAAAAGAGGGTTACCCTGATGCTCTGGCTCTTTTCAATTGTTGAATGAGGTGATTCACTGATTGTAAAGATACTAATGCCTGTATACTTAAAACGAAATTAAGTCGAACTTCAAACTAGAACTTAACTCAAAAACATATTTCCTCATAATTCATACAGTAATAGACCATTATTCAAACTAATATTCTATAATAATAACTATATAGTCGTTAACATGTAACGATATAGAATATGAACTGTCACTGAAAATTTGCTTTCTTTGGAGAACTATTATAGTTGAGGTCAAGCAAGGGCAGTGCCATCTTTGTTGTTGTTACAGTAAAGCTACGTGAACGCAACGCGAGGGGATTTTGTGCAAATCAGGAACTGTTGCGTGTGGCTATCAAATTTTGCCTTTTGGAAGCTAAACGTAATGTCCCTTTTCTTGAACACACTGGAGATGCATCAGACCTATTTATACAATTGTTTATATTCACTTCACTTTATCGTAAGTTAGAAAAAGCACATTTTTAGTGGGGTAAATATTTCAAGTTGGCGATTTAACCTGGCCCTAGGCTGACAAAACAATCGGCCTGAGGAGGTATAATTTTAGTCAAAGTTCGTGTGATTTAGTTGTAGTGCTAGTCAAAGTTCATTTTAAGAATACGAAATGGCGTAATTTTTATGTTTTAGCTCAAACTACGACTAAAGTTTTGTTAAAGAATATTTGGGTAAGCTACAGCATTAATGAACCACACCCATGAATTCAACAAAATGATGTTGCAAGTACCATACTCGCGCGAATAAGCGTCCGGGTACTTAAAATATTTTTTGCATTTTCTCGGGCGTTTATTCAAACGGGGCGCTTATTCGAACAATCGAGGGGTTCTTATGGGAAATTATTGAATTTAGGAGGCACATTTTGAATGAAAAAAGATTATTTAAGGACATTACGAATGGTGCTTAGGCGGAAAAGATAGCCTAATCATCCGGAGAACATGGCTCATGACAAGAATGCGTGAATATCATAATAGCAAAATAGCAGATGCAATTAGTGGTGGTGGGTAGTGGTTAGCTTGTTGGTCATCGGCCGATTGAGATTAGCAGGATGGCAGGACCATTGTATTTTTTATTGGAAACTTAGATGAGAATGTGCTAAAGGTCGGAAAAAGTAAAAGAGGAATAGGACTAGGCATAGACATATGTAAAAAGAGTAAAGTTGGAAATATACCGTCTGTCCAGGGATCGGAGCTCCCATCAGTCCAAGGGAAATATCCTCATTTTGATATTGACCTATGAATGTGTTTCCACTCTGCAGCTCAAATCATGCCAACAACCACAGTCCCAGGATTAATTGGATTATTGACTTGCTAAAAAGAAAATCTTGTGAAATTATTAGAAGTGGGTGCTTATTCAAACGTGGCGCTTAAGGAAATTTTCACGTTAGTAGGGGCGGCTATTTGCACGAGTACGGTATTCTGTTTTTGGTAATCATATGACCTGTTAGTCTTATGACTGGTTTTGCACGTGACACGTGTTTTTTGTGCCTGATGTCCTTGTATGTCACATTGTTTTGTATGTTTTTCTTGGGTTTTTTTTCAGATTTGCCCACTGCATCTGACGCATCCCACCACCAAATTGAACCTTCCAGTACAAGACATACTTCAACAAAATCAAAACAAATTCCAACTTCTCAATGTTCACTAAATACTACAAAACCAATGTAAGTATCAATTTATGTTCTCAGAATCATGTATAGAATTTATTGAATATTTTTATCATTGCTAAAATAAGTCCATGTTGTGATTTTCTTACTACCAGACCCAATTCTGTGCACTAAAATATAAAATATATTATATTATATTGATAGAATTGCTTGTGTTCAATATGGTGTATGCCATACCACAGATCCTATGGCCATACTCACTTTACTTGAATCTGATTATTTTGTCTTTTCAGAAATAAAATTATTAGTAGGCCTCCAATATCCGGTGTACCCTCTCACTCGACAACATCATCTTATGCAAAAGTTTTCCCTAGGTCTATTGCAGCAAGTCATCTAGGGAGACATAAAGCATCTTATACTGTGAAAGAGGTATGAATCTCATTGGTCATGTCACCTTTACAGGTCAATGATGGCCATCATGATATGTCAATGAATGTATGCAATGTGGTTTATGTTCAAATGCTTCATTAATGTATGCAGTATTGCTTACTTTCAAAACATTGTGTTCATGAATATATGCAATGTTACTTCCAAAGTCTATTAATGTATCCAATGATAAGTGCCTTTAAAATTTGGTGCTTACCTTCAGAAGATAAATGAAAACCCTCACTTACTGCAGTTCTTTGTATATCTGTTTAAATTGCATAAATACTATCTTAAAACTAACATTGTAAATGCTAAAAATATAATTGGAAGCTTCAGTCATCTATTTGGCAATGTTATTTCAACTAATTGCTTTATACCCCATTATTTTAGAGTATACGTTTACAACAAAGGCAGGAATACCAAAAACTTCTACAGCAGTTCACTACTACAGAAGTTAAAGATCTTAGACCAGAACCCCCAGTAGATACTAGTAAACAAGATTTAATATTAGACAGTGATACCCAACAACATGAAACATCAAGAGTGTGAGTTTGCAATGCTTTGTTTGGTTATTCTACATGTATTATTAGTTATTATTTACTTTAGGTTCTTGAATTATACCATATTTAAAGCTAATCAGTTCATTCCATTGGTAAGGTGGCAAATGTGTACTGTGTGTTTAATACTAAATATTTTTTTTTCGTGATTAATTAGTCTTAAGTATAGTGAAAAAATGTCACTGAATTCTACTATCCAAAATAAGAACGCATCATAAGTGTGGGCGGGGCATAGTTTTAAAAGATCCGTCATCCTACTGTACTGTATTAAAAACATCCGATCTCCAGTTACATCATTCAGAATTTTGTTGTCAATGATTTTATACATTTGAATTTTCAATTTTGTTTCTAGACCCTCCACAACTCTACTTGGCTCAACGTTCTCCATACCCCAGTTTACATCTCGTAAGGAAATTCAAGGTGGGCGTGTCCTTCCACATCATTACACCAGTAAACGTGAGTTACGAGAAGCAGCTAGACAACGACTTCACGCTCCTTCCAGTGACATCAGTACGTGTGTCACACCAAGCAGTGAAAAGAAATCTTTATCAACGCCATCTCAACCAGGTTTGAATGTATATTGTGTTTTAAGCATCATGGTTATCAGAGTACTCAGGGTTGTAGCTGTAGGAAACTTAGGGTAGGTAGTAGACATTTTAAGGGTGGGTGGGTGATAACAACATTGGTACACTCTAAATAATAAGAGTGGATTTTAAGGATGGGCAAGGGGGTAATAGGTTGGTGGAGGGCCATGAAATTACAGTAGCTCTAGACTGGATGAAAAACTTCAAGGCTGGGTGGCCCACCCACCATAACTACATCCCTGAGTACTGTGTTTTTGTCTCTGGACCATCAAAAAGTCTACATACAACATTATGGAATTAAGTGGACATTTTTTTTTTTTAACCTCTAATCACAAATTAATTTATTGCTATAAATTGATCTCATATTTAACAATACAAACTGACTTCTGGTAAATACTAATAGTCAACCCAATTTGTATTCAGACTTCAGTCGATCTGATTCACCTATTATTACTGCGGTGCACATGCCAGGGAGTGATCGTCAGTCCAAGGGTAGTGGTCCGATATCAAGTTTCCAACTAAGCTTGTCACAGTCAGCTGTTGCCCAAGAAGACTGGATCAAGGAGATGTAAGTACAAACAAGATGTAGATTAATAAACAAGGAGATGTAAGTACAAACAAGATGTAGATTAATAAACTAATAATGTGGTAATAATAAATATGTGCCAGAAGAAACATACTGGAAAGGTAAACAAATACTGTTTTGTTTATAAAGAATAACAATCACATTAAATAATGTGGCATTTGTTTCATCAGCATCATAAGGACTCAATTGCATCAACTGGGTGGATATTATGTAGATGAGAAGACAGGTGAGGGGGTGGTTACATAATGTACTGGAGTTGTAGGTTAGTATGTTACAAAATAGTGAATGAAAATTGGTAAATTCTGTAATTATTATTTATTGACAGGAAAGAGAGGTTTGAATCCAGTACCAGGGATAAATTAAGACGTGTAGAGGAGGAGACGATTAAAACTAAGATATATAAAGAGAGAGTAAGTATTTAGAAGCAAAAGATTAACATTTAAAAAAAAAAATTCATCAGGAAATGTCCATCATTATTGATTATTACTAATCAAGAATGAATATTGTACCAACTATGACTACTTTTATTCCATGTTTGTATGAGCTCCTCTGAGTCACAAAATGAATCTTGTGGTACCAATCCTGAAAAAAATAGTTATTGATAGTATTCAGTCTTTGAATCATGTTCCTAGATTAAGTACAACTAATAAATTTCTTGTTAGTTTTTTGATAAATTCTGAAAAATAATAAAATGTGACCCAAGTCCACAGAAGGGCATGCATGCAACAAGCTGTCATGCATGATGTGTAGCCTAGACATTGAATTAAGTATTGCCGACGCATAAATAGCGCTAAATGTTTTTATTTTACACAAGATAGAGAGTATTTGATTACTGTAGATCTACAGGTACATTATTGATAGAATGGTTAAATTTGTCTTGGTTAAACAGCTTGTTGACAGGCTTTTTCTTTCGTTTTGGAGATCGTGTTGAGCTAGGGCCTTGATGCCTGGCCTTGTGTAAAAATCCTGATTTACTGTATCTTACATACGTGCTTAATGAAATTTCGAAATCGATACTTCTATTTTATGAATTTTGTTTTTTGACATAGCAAAAAAATCCCTTCTCGACCACCATCTCCCCTATCCCCAAATTTATAAAATTTTCCTCCCACTCTTTACAACATCCCCACCCCCCTCTCCTTCCTCCATGCCTACAATTTTGCTTGCAACAATAAAAATCCTGATAATTTTTAACTTGTAAATAATGTGCATAATAATGAAAATTTTGTATTTTTAAAATTTGTAAAATGTATAAGAAAAAATCCAGAGTCCAACCCCCCCTCCCCCTATCTATCAAGGCTTGATTAATGAAACACTTATGAAAGTATAACCAATTTTCCCCAGGGTATCACTAAGTCGATACCCTGTGAAAATAAAAAATTTCTGTTCCCCAACCTATTTTTAGCAACTATTGAAAATTTCATCGCAAAACACATTTTTGATAGAGAACGAGTTTACATCCCTTCTGTGGTCTTGGGTCACATATGTCTTAAAAACTCTTTCAACATATGTAAATCAGCATGGAAAATTAGCTATCATGAAGTACATATTGAACATATCAAAATATGATTTAATACATATTTTCCTATATCAAATCGATCTGGCATCAATACGATACAATACATCCTGTTTTTCTAGACTTCAGTTTTTATACTTATATATTGACAAATTTATTTTAATGTAATGTTGCAATTTTTTTATTTTACGATGCCATGGAGAACCTCAATAATGTCTTACTTTAGTTATCCGTTGAGGGCATTTTATATTGTATTTTTCTCTTTTTTAACTAATTTATCTTTGTTTTTTTTTTTTCATTTTCTAAAGCGTTTACATGAAATGGGAAGATTAGAACAAACTGTAAGTATCTTTGTAAAAAAATTGTATTTATAAAATCAGTATTGAAAGTTTGTACAGTTTTGAAACTTTCTTTATTGTGTGGTGAAGTAGTTCTAAATTTGATAGTTTATGAATCACTAAGAATTATTATATTTGTTGAACAGATTAGGGAAAGAATGCTGATAGCAGAGCAAGAGCCACCTGTCTTGGAGGAGGTTGCAGATCATTCTGAGGATGAAGTGAGTGATGTAGAAGAGTTGACATTCCTTACGCAAGAGATGGAAGACGCGATAGATGATGCATTGATATCAGAACCTGCTGGACAGATTCTTGTTGAAGGCTTTAGATGCTCCCTAACCAGAAACCATATACAAACTTTGAATGGTTTAAATTGGCTCAATGATGAGGTTTGTAAATATACCACATAGTTTTATGATTCTAAGAAAAAATTATTATTACCCAGTGATGTGCTATCTATTAAATGAAGTTATAATTGTAAATATGTTAACCCTCACTATACAGGAGGCGAGGAAGATGCTACACTAGACCTTCAAAGGAAGAAAATTAATTTTTCAAATGATAATGATTTAGTGCCTTGAGCATTTCTGCAGTGGATTTGTGCGGTTTATAAATATTGTTGTTGTTGCTGTTGTCGTCATCGTCGTCAAGGGTAAAATAACACAAGAGATATTCCCCGATTTAGTGCTTATTATTATTGTTATTGGTGATCCACTTCTCGAGCATCATCATCTTTTTTTTATTTCTCCCCTTTTTTGTTCGCACGATATCTCAAAATTGCTACGAGGTACGCACATGGTCGCTTCATCGATCAATTTGGCTTCGCCTGGAATAGACATGGTAAGGTTTTCAAGGTGACGTCAGCTACGTGCAATTTTGCGTTTTTACATTATCGATCATATCAGCCTAACCATTTGCTATTTTGAAATCGTATTAAGTGAGCATTAACTTAGGTCAATGTTAAATCTCCTGTACCCTAATTTTATGTGTGTGCCTCGTAACGCGTGCGTCAAAATTTCAAAATGCTTGAAATCACTTTTTGACTAAATTTGAGCATGTTACACGCCATTTTGAGCATTTCAAAATGTTTTGAAATTTACCACTACGCGTGCGCTTTTTTACGTGCGCGGCACGTACGGAAGCTAGAAATTAAGTTTTTTGTCACATTTTGGGTTCGTGACATTGTTTTCGATCTCTTCAATCACCTTATGGCCAATAACAATGCCGTACGCACGCATCAAACATAGTGAACTTTGTGCGCATTTGTGCCGATATACAGTGAATTTTTACTAAAATCAGGCCTAAATTTAAACGGTTACAGCTCTTTAGGATGAAAGGTGACCCCCAATTTTTATTACATATTCTGAATGCACATGAGTTTTAAATATGATTTACTAGCTCATAATGGCCGATCGGACATTGTGACCTCATCATATTGCCATCTGAATTCAACAAACTAAATTTTATCGATGACGTCATTTTTAAAAATGCGCATTTGAGCGTATCTCGCTTATTCTTGGTCGATCGTCTTCCAACTTTGAGTATGTTATATCTGAGGGAATTCTATTTCATTATGTGACTTCTTTTTACATTTTGATGATGTCATCATGGTCAAAATAAAGGTTTTTGATGACCCCCTCATCTTTCTTTCCTCAAACATTTAATGACCCCATAATAACCTTAACCAGTCTGTTACAAGTTAGTTAGGATCCGATATAAAGGATCAGGTATCAATCATCCACCACTATGCACTTTGTGTGTATACGACAATAAAGATACAATACGAGGTAATAGTTACCATGTTGAGGTTTAATTTCTCAAACAAATGAACAAATGAGCATCTAACGTGTGGATGCACAGCGTCAAGATCAATACTACATTGAGACTTTGTTTCTCGAATGTATAAGCATCAAATGCATGGATGTACTGTGCCAAGAATACTACAGTTTCACCTACAGACATGCAATGCTACTACAATTCCGCATATAAATTATAAAGTAATACAGTAATTCTTAAGTACATCTAACGTATAGACATACAGCATAACATAAAGCATTAAGGATATGTTATCAAGTCCTTGACTGACTACTGGCTTGGCTTGTGTACTCGTCCATACCATACCACACGTTCTTTAGCGATGTACATTAGACCACATCCAACCGGCTTAGCTTTACAATCCACAGCCCACATGCTTGAATCGGTTGAAGCAATTCCTGCCGTCGTACCACAATCGCTCTCCAAGGCCAGAACACCCAGGCTCAATCTGTTGCTAATTCCAGGCTATCTCATTCCACGAGGTATGTCTTCCAGTTCAATCTCACCTTCCAATGAGCAGAACTAGCCGCAATGAGACGATTTCCAGGCTACACCAACGTTTCACGTTTCGCCCTAGTAGCCAACACTGAAGATACCCACTTCCACCTGCTGCACTGTTATATACGCAATCAGCCAAGTATGGAAGGCCATCGATTCATAATAAATCATTGGAAAACCAACACGGCAAAACTACTCGTAACACAGTCGTGATTTCTGAATGATATTTAGTGGGCATAAATTTCAGGTCATGGTTAAATGTCGTACCTTAATTTCCTGTGCGTGCGTCATCACGCTTAATATTATGCTTTTTTTTTTTAATCAGTTATAGCTCCTTAGAATGAAAGGTGACCCCCAATTTTTATTACATATTCTAAAAGCACGTGAGTTGTAGATATGATTTTATATATCATAATAGCTGATCGGACAGTGTGACGTCACCATATTGCCATCTGAATTCAAAAAACTGAATTTTTATATATGATAAATACTATGAATGATCATTACTCCCTTCACCAACAGGTGTTTGTCAATGAAAGTTAATACATATATATCTCATATCAGGAGACAACAGTCACATTAAGATGCGCATGTGCATCATGACGTGCGCGTACGCATGAGTAACTCTTAAAATGCTCCAAATTCTTTTTTAACAAACTAAATTAGCGTATTTTGTCATTTTCAGCATTTAAATATTGTTCATTCCGCACCGCGCACACTTCCTCGTGGGTCAAAGTGCGGCGGATCACCTAACTCGTCCTCAGTGACAAGTTCAAATCTAGTTATTATTATTATAGTTATTATTATTATGAGCAATTGATAGATTGCTTGGTTATTGTTTCTTGGTAGTAGCATCAATTCACTGGAGGAGTAAAATATGGTGTGATAACCATTAACATGAAAAGGGTTTTTTTTACATATGCTCTTTCATATACTGTAGTTATTTTTAAATGTATTTGTTTTGTTTTGACTTTTAAACAAATCCCAACTTATTAATGTATTTCCTTCTCTTCACAGGTTATCAATTTTTACTTTAGTTTACTGGTTGAGAGGAGTGAACAGGTAATGCATAACAAAATTTATTCTATTTTACTACAGTATTATTTTTTAATTATAAGCTTGAAGTACTCATCAATATGTGCACATGCTTAAATCGCATTTTTTTAAATACTTACAAGTGTTCATAACATTCATTTGACAGGACAGTTACCCATCGATGCACAACTTCAACACATTCTTCTATCCTAAATTATTACAAGGTGGTCACAACCCAATACGACGTTGGACTAAGAAAGTGGACATCTTCTCAAAAAATCTCATTCTTGTCCCAGTTCATCTAGGAGTGCATTGGTGTCTTGCTGTGAGTCTCCTGCTCGCTTTATTTAGTGAAATTTTATTTTGACTTTAAACATTATGGCATTCTATTCAGCACTTAAAAATGTGTGAAAGAAATTAATATAAAATGCTAAATTTCCTTTCTGCATAAAGTCTGTAGAATATCAATATTTAAAAAAGAATGTATTTGTGTTAATGGTGGAAACTTAGGGCACTACCACAAAATAGATAAGATAAACTTTTCAGTGAATTGAACATGCAGTTTGAGGCTTAGCTGGCTGGGTATTATTTCTTTCTATTTTTTGTTTTATTACTGTATAAATAAAAGATAAATCATCCTGGGATTGACAAATGGTTGTAGTATTACTTCTTTGCTAAGAGAAAGTTAATGTTTTTTTATCATTACTTTCAGGTGATTGATATGCGCAATAAGACTATTACATATTATGATTCTATGGGCAATGCAAATCCAAAGTGTTTACAAGCCTTAAGGTACAAGTGTTGTTTATCTACATATGTATAAATTAATTCAAATCTGTTAAATTTGACATTTAGCAAATAGTAACTAGTGGTATTTAGTTAGATATTATGTAGTCTCATACTTGGCTTTGAGGTACTACTTATTCTTAATATTCTTCTTGGAAAAGATAAGTTACATCGCCATTGAAAATAAATATGGTACATAGCAGTTCCATGTGAGATAGGTGTGATGCATCTAACCTTTACATGCGAGATAGGTGTGTAAATCTAGTCTTTACATGTTAGATAAGTGATACAACTAGCCTGTACATGTGAGATAGGTGTGATGCATCTAGCCTTTACATGCGAGATAGGTGTGTACATCTAGTCTTTACATGTTAGATAAGTGATACAACTAGCCTGTACATTTGAGATAGGTGTGATGCATCTAACCTTTACATGCGAGATAGGTGTGTACATCTAGTCTTTACATGTTAGATAAGTGATACAACTAGCCTGTACATGTGAGATAGGTGTGATGCATCTAGCCTTTACATGCGAGATAGGTGTGTACATCTAGTCTTTACATGTTAGATAAGTGATACAACTAGCCTGTACATGTGAGGTAGGTGTGATGCATCTAACCTTTACATGCGAGATAGGTGTGTACATCTAGTCTTTACATGTTAGATAAGTGATACAACTAGCCTGTACATGTGAGATAGGTGTGATGCATCTAACCTTTACATGCAAGATAGGTGTGTACATCTAGTCTTTACATGTTAGATAAGTGATACAACTAGCCTGTACATGTGAGATAGGTGTGATACAACTAGCCTTTAAATGCGAGATAGGTGCGATATAGCTAGCCTTTACATGTGAGATAGGTGTGATACAACTAAACTTTACATGCGATATAGGTGCGATGCATCTAACTTTTACATGCAAGGTAGGTGGTTGCTAAGTATTCAGTTTGCATTTGACTTATATTCAGACTGAAAAATTCCAATTGCAAACAGCCTGTGTAACATTCTCCTTGGTAAAATTTCTCAAGTCGTGTGGTAATTTTATGCGAGCAAATGCTGCTTAGAAAGTGTAACAAGGCTGTTTTTCCTCAACATAAAAACCCAGTGCAAACAGCTGTTAAATCTTCCTGAACACAGACAAATGCACATCACTAAACCTTTCGCAGAATGTATCAATGATTATACTGTACTGATTTTTAAAAATCTTTTTTAAAATCTATTAGACAATATTTATATGATGAGTATAAAGACAAGAAACAGGGCGAGTTGGACTTGAGTGGTTGGAAGCTGATCAATTGCATGGATATCCCACTACAGATGAATGGTTGCGACTGTGGAATGTTTGCTTGTAAATATGCAGAGTATATTAGTAGGGATGCGACAATTACATTTACACAAGTATGTATCATACACGTTTCTTTTGATATAAATGTGTTGCAATGTCTACAGTATATCAGTGGTCGTCATCATTTCATTTTGCCCTTCCAAGTGGATCAAGGCTTCAATGTCCTCCTCTATCTTATGTGATCTACTACTGCATCTAGGTCCACCACACTTCCATGCAGCTTTTAATACAGTTCCTTCATGTTTTAATCAGTCTACCTCTAGGTCTTCTATTATACAACTGTCTTCTTCATTTCACTCCTATCTGTTTGATTATATCATTCCTCATTAATTTACATTCACAATGTGAGGTAAATTTGAATGAATCATACATATTATGTGTTGTGTATTTTGATGAATTTAATCAATTATGTCTTGTTTTTATTTGTACAGGAGGATATGCCTTACTTCAGGAGAAGAATGGTTTGGGAAATAATCAACAAAAAGTTATTATAACACAGTTCTAAACATGGCAATCAGGAGGAGTATTTTCTTTCCAGGAGATAAAAAAGACATTTTCATTATATTTAAGAATGTGTCATTGTAATAAATATCTGTACATCAAATGAAATGTGTAGGGCTGAAGATAATTCTTGTTAAGAAAAAAACAGTAATATATGTACATAATGAACATAAATATTGAAAAAAAAGATAATAATTTATGTTTACGTGAACAAAGTTCTACAATTTCATTCACAGGAAATTGAAATAGTAATGTATGTACTTGAAATCCAGGATAGTTGCATAATCTAAACCATTAAGGAAGTTTTATAAAATTGGTGGTTCATGGTTCGCAATGGTGGATTCAACTTCAATAAAGGCCAGTTTTTGAAGTTTGCAGGGACATGTTCCCAATATGATACTGTACTAATTATGTCCAATTTGCAAACATGATGTCCAATAGCTTATTAAAACACATTTGTATATTTTATTTGGTATTGGTATAGAAAATCTCTAAAGTTTTTTTTTATCAATACCAAGTGGATTTTAAATCCAAATCTATTTCAAAATGCAATATGTTGGAGTATGTAATGTATTCTGAATTAAAAGGCTTCCTACATTCACAGGGAGTTGCCAATGATAAAAAAAAGTTAATGCAATCTCAATACCTTCACAATTATACATGCTATTAATACCAATTCATTTGAAAGTATGTTATTCCATCATTAATTAAGCTAAAATTATGTTGCCCTCTAACTTAACTGACATCAGCTGACCTTTGCCAACTAGTCGGTGACAGGCGTGCAACTGTGTGTCTTGAGGTGATGAGTGCTACTTGCAATTTGAAAACAACTTAGTCGCCAGTTGCTGGCTGTTGCTAGTGTTTGCTTTTGCTGCAATTCAAAACAGCTGAACAGCAATTGAATGGTCGTGTGACAGTAACTGCATGCCAGTTATAGTGGTGTTGCCTAGCAACTAGTTGTAGATACTCTGCAGTTGGAAAAAACACTGGGCACTAGTTCCACCTTGCTAGTTAGTAGTTGTGTCAACATGAGCACTACTAGTAGCTAGTTGAGATCAGTTGAGTCACAAGGGTGACATAATTTGTTTAGCTTTAGGCTTAAGCTACAAGCCGTGGTTCATTTGTATGTGCTAAACCTTCACAGTCAAGCTTGCTGTAATCACTCCATTTACAGTATTTGTAAAACTTGACTTGCTTTGTACAGCTGTATTTTGTAATGAAATGAACAAAAAATGTCTTTGTACTTACAAAAAAAATCTTTTATTATCTTTATTTTCTTTAGTTATATTATGAAAAATGATGAATAAATGTTAATTAATATGATGAAAACCATTGTTTATATTGTGTATACAGTACTAGAAAATTAGTCTAAAATGAGAGATATTGTTTTTGGTAAGAGAGATGAGACAGGCAGAAGAGTTCCTGAGAGTTGGCAGACGAAATACCATGCAGGAATCAGTTTTAGAGGCAATAGAACAATCATGAACAAGCGATTTACCTGTGGAAGAAGTGATGAATGGACCGATGATAAAAATATTTGTTAATGGTAGTAACCGGATTTACTCCCTGCCAGATTTAAGGTTTTTCTCATTTTAATGTTTAGTTGCAAAGCTGATAACCTAGAATTTATATATTTAGCTGGTAATATATTTCCAAATAATGTAAATATTGGACCGTATTTATTTGATTAAACTCCCTCCCCCCTCCCCAAATAGCCTCATTTAGAATAAATGCCAATAAACAAAACTAATGGTAGCAACATCATTTTCAACACACTATTAATGTTCTACTCCAGTTGATAAATGTCTTCATGATCACGCAATACAGTTGCCTAACCCCCATCAGCTGCCCCAGGCTATGCCCCATTGAAAAGGGGCCCTGCTGCTACTAGTACCTAGCACTTTACTACCGAGCTGTAACAGTTGTGTAACACATGTGCTTTCTGGTGCCCAGTCTCAGTCCAAAATAAACAGACCAAAATCCCACTCTTTGGCAGATTTATTAGAAAGGGCCCCTCCTACTACATGTCAAAACATGTCGTTCATAACTTTCATATACTTTATTAGATGCATTACTGCATTTGTATATCTTATGTTCTTATATATTCGAAATAAATGTTATGAATGAATATTATTTTAAGTCCGTTTTATTTTTGAAAATCATGTTAAAAAATAGATAAAAAATATTCAAATTAGATATTTAAAAAATGGTTTGAGTGGGAATCGAACCCACGACTTCAGTTATCTAGCCAGATGAAAACCTCTACAAGGAAATATCATAGGAGTGATTATGTGCCCTACCTGATACTACCCAATAATAAAATTTAAAAAAAAAAAATGGTTTGGGTGGGATTCGCACCCATGACCTCCAGGTTATCTAGCCAGATGAAAACCACTACAAAAAATGCTATTTGATGTGAGTTTGCCTCGACTAATATCATGGGATTGATTATTTGCTCTACCTGACGTGTTATCGTACCGTACTCAGTACGTCTCCAAATACTAGTCATTAATAAAAAAAAAAAAAAACGTTTCATGTGGGAATCGAACCCACGACCTCCAGGTTATCTAGCCGTTGTTTCACTAACTCAACTGAACGGAGGAAGGAAGCACCGCGACCCTTAAGCCATAAATGCGATGAATCTTTTTACCACACCAAGTACCAGTCAGTCGAATCCAAGACTACCTGACAACAGGATACGAATATAATATACGGTACAGCTGTGGGTCAATATTACGCATGGTCATGGTGTCAAAAGTAAAGAAAAACTTAAATATTCAAAATAATTGTTATAAATTAAATATATCTTATGAAGCCCTTTACATAATACATTGCTTGGGGAAATCCGCTACTGAAAAAACAAACAACTCATTACAATATCACTCTCATTCTAATTCCTATACATGACTTACCATAGTATTCCTGACCTCTATATACATGACTTACCTTAATATTTGCCTGTTATTAAATGATGATGACGTGGGACACGTCAAAACATGTCGTTCATAAGTTTCACATACTTTATTAGATGCATTACTGAATTTGTATATCTTATGTTCTTATTAAATATTCGAAATAATTGTTATAAATGAATCTTATTCTAAGTTTTAAAAAAATGGTTCGGGTGGGAATCGAACCCACGACCTCCAGGTTATCTAGCCAGATGAAAACCACTGAAAATGATGCTATTATGATGCGAGTTTGCCTCAAGAAATATCATAGGAGTGATTATTTGCTCTGGTTATCGTACCGAACTCAGTACGTCTCCAAATACTAGTTATTAATTTGGGTTTTTTTTTAATGGTTCGTGTGGGAAATCGAACCCACGACCTTCAGGTTATCTAGCCGTTGTTTCACTAACTCGACTGAACGGAGGAAGGAAGCACCGCGACCACTCAGCCATAAATACGATGAATCTTTTTACCAGACCAAGTACCAGCCAGTCGACTCCGAGACTACCTGACATACAGGGGTGGCGTCAGAGGGGGGCTGGGGTCTATAGCCCCCCGTTAGCCCCCCGTCGGGGAAGACGATAAATTTTGTCGGGGAACAAACAAATAAAAAAAAATATTTACATGTAATATTCGTTTAGCCACCATATCGTTTGTGTTAACTTTTCATCACAACAACAACCACAATA